TGGTCCCTACATTATGAAAGGCCCATGGAAAGTATTTCCCGTATACGCGTACGCGTACGGCGTTTTACTGGTAACGTAATCTAGACCCAACTCCCTCACGCAGTCATTACCTGTAAGGTTTCCAGAGCTAAGAGCCGCACAAATGACTGTTTGTGGCTTATCCACCGAAGTGGAGTGATTATAGTCGTAAAGGTTGACGTTTTTTTTGCCCCTAAAAGTTGTGGATAAACGCCGGCAGCCCTCCCCACCGCTAGCTACCCCTCACTGCAGCAGCTGATACCCCGACCAATAGCAGCGTGGAGCTTGCTGAGAAATTGACCAATAGCGGCGTGGCCGTCTTTCGTGGCCGTCCTACCATATTCTAGACCAAGCCATACCTCCACATGTGTGAGCAAGCGTCCTGCCCCCCTCCCCACCAACGCACACTTCTCCCTCAAAATACAAGTTAAAACCACCAAACTCTCACGTTTCCTTAATGTTAGAAAGTTAAGTCAGTTAATACACGATAGCTTACCTCATCTTCGTCGCTATCGGAGCTCTCGGCAGCTAACGGGACGTCATCATCGTCCTCGATCGTTCCGATCTGATCCCAGTTCGCCATGATGCCTGTTTGTGGTTGGTTGATGGTTCAACCAGCGCTGGTTATCGATAGTTAGTCTGTCGGCACTGTAAATTTCGTCACAAAAATATCGATGACGTCATATCATTGATAAAATAGCTTTCAGGTGTTTTGTACATTTGTTGAAATGTTCAAAGAAACGTAAAAATTGTGAATAATGATAAGCCTTTGCACTTTGACCTTTAGCCCCTGACGCTCCAATTCACGAGTTGCACATTCCCAGGATCCTTTGCGCCCAGGGTAGGTCACGTGGGCGTCAGGGTAGGGAAAGGTCTCGGTAAACCACGTGACTCATCCTCGGCTCTGGTCGGAAGAAGGTGCCCTAAGCGATATCTGGCCGATAGTAGGCTGGGAGCATTCACATTTTCACGTAGTGTGTTGAATCAACCCTATCCTATCCCATACCGATAGTCATGGAGCAAAAATTCGATGCCGCTTTGCCGTACGAACGCCGTGAAAAACTACGTACCTCCCGCCGCCGGCAGTGGTGTCAGCCATTTTTGAAATTTCCGAGCGCTCGCGAACACTTCCGACTTC